ATGTTTTTAATTGTGTACCAGTTTAACGTTGAATATTATTTATGATTTTAACTTTATACACAAGTGCCAAAATACTATAAGAAATAGCAAATGTTACTTAACAGAAAGGAGCTGAAAAAAAAAACAGAGCATAAAACAAGCTTTAATGCCTGATCAACAACAAAGACTGTAAAATGAACTACAGAATTTGAATATATTACATAACATGATACACTGTACATGTCCCAATCATATACAAGACTATACTAACACAGCTAGTACGAAAGTTCTATACTATCTAATCTCTTTTTTTTGTTGTTATTTAATACTTCTGGTAATAATAGACCTTTCCATGAGGACTGGAATAAGCTGTCACTAGGGGGTTTTCCAATAATCAGGAAAATAATCATTAAGTCTTTAATTTTTTTCAGATTTTGGATACTGATGTTTTGAGATGATACTATAAACTATATCTTACAATAAGATACTATAAATTAATTAATAATTATTATTAACTCTACCATGTGCACACATTAGGTTAACCACAAACCAACTATATAAGTCCTGAACAAGGTTTTGTTCTCTCAGTACATATTCCATCCTGTGCTAGTCTTTCCGAAGCAAAAAGCTTGGAAAATAAACCTTTTCACTTTTTTTAAATCGACAAGTATATACTTTATATATAACAGAAATGTACTCATATTTTCTACTTAGTCAAACATAAAGGAATAAAACTGGGGAAAAATAATACTTGTGGAAAGTCCATGTAATTGTAAGACACATTTGAAAAGAAATAATTTTACATTAGCACTGGCTTTTCAAAAGAAATAATATTAATACAGTTTTTACCTAAAAAGAAACTTCCTTAAACTCATTTCTTACCCTAATAGGTGTTGAATAACAACAAAGCTGTTGCTGGGTGCCAAGAGGCTGATCCTGGACAGTAAAATGTTGTTGCTTAAGTAACAATAACATGTGTGTAATTATGTTTCTTTGTTTGTTTTGAATTTCGACCAAAGCTACACGAGGGCT